AATCTTCGACATAAAATTTTCTATATAGAATTTCGGAATAATATTATTTATTCCATAAATCCTTCATTACAGAACATATCATTATCCAGGAAATCCATGTAGTGGAATCCTTAACCATATAAAGCCGTGACATCCTCATTTGCCCCTGGACAACTCCAAGCTACACAAATTGCTCAAGAGCTCACCACCCGCTGCCAAAGCCATTAGGCATTTTAATAAGGTGAACTAGTACTCGTGGATTGTCTGCGCCCTTGAACGGATCGAAGACCGCAATATAGTGGATCTGCGCATTTTCATCGAGTAGTAGCTAGTATGCAACTCTGTTGCTTACCACAGCTTCACAATGCCGTCATTGCCATCCGGCCATACGACACGGAATCGAGGCAATAACCAGTTCCGTCCATAGTCCAGTCTCAGAACAGTATATTGACACATTAAATTGAGGCTGAGTTGCACGAGAAATCAATCCAATCAACCAGATTAGCAACACTCGAAACCTGATCATTGGGCAAATAATGCAGCATCCAACTAGCTACTTTTGTGGCAGACACAATCAAGTACCAATGCGCACATGGCACTTTTTCTGTTTGGGGGAACCATAGCATGAAGGAGCGCAACTAATTGCCTGGTGAGAGGATTGTAAACATAATAGTTTTCTGTCGGAAAGCGTTGCGCCACCAATAAGTCATCAAACGAAAGGCAAAAAATCTAGACAAGTTTCATCATCATCGGGAATAATATTCTTTGGTTTCTTAAAAGATAACTCATGAAATTTTTGAAAGATTTTGTCAGTTCGACGGTAATCAGACAAAAACTTATAAAGGAGCTGCCGTGGAAAATATCCACCTTTGTGATGGTGGGTGAAGCTGCAAAGGAAGTGCGGCTAAGAAATTAGAGAAAACCAGCGCTTGTAGACGGTGCTACACTTGATTGTAGAAGCAAAAAGGGCTTTTGATCGGATCTCATAGCCCCTGTGACCATCATTATACAATAAACAGAAAGAATAAATATTTACACATAATTGACAAAATCTCCAACACTCCCCCTCAAGCTTAGGAATAGATATTTCTCATTCTAAGCTTGCAGAGAAAACTTTCCTGACTAGGCTTTGGTAGACTCTTGGTTAGGATATCTGCTTCTTGTGCATGGGTTGAGATGTAGGACAACTCAATACCTCCTTCTTCGATTTCGTTCTTGATGAAGCTTTGATCAATCCTGACATGTTTCATCCGATCATGTTGAATCGGATTGTTCACAATGCTAATTGCAGATTTGCTATCACTATATACCTTGGTGGGAGAGCAAACTGTGATTTGCAAGTCTTGCATTAATCTTTCCAGCCATATAACCTCACAAATTCCCTGTGCGATTGCCCGTCAATCTGAAATCAGGGAGCTGAATAAAAATCTCAAGCAGCAAATCGTCGTTTCCGACAGACATAAATTTAGATTTGGCTGATATGTGTGGTGAGTTTCCATTAGTTTTTCTTTTTTTCCTAATGTTCACGCAACCAGCTTTGCTAGCAATGTGCTTACAACGTTTCTCCACCTCCGCCATGATCATAGATATTTCAAACCGAGGGCCCTCTTTCTCTGATCTGCTGGCCAGGAGTAGGGCTGTTAAAAAAACCGATACGAGTGAAAACCGACGAAAAGCAACTCCATATACACTTAAAAAAAAAAAAAAAAAAAAAAGAAAGAGTTTCGAGCCGAACCCTCAACTTGGGGATCAATGCAGCGCATTAACACTGTTAATCCACGCAAATTTTGTTGCTATTTTCGTGTCTCAATTATATTATTACGTTTACTTTATTTTATATTTTAAAATGACAAATTTTGAGAGTCCCAGAGTCCCACATAGAAAAGCTACTAAGATTTCTCCTTTCATTCTCTTTATACATGAGTAGATGCTTCCTGTTCAACTCCATTTTAAGTTGCAAAGGGTGTACTTTATAGCTTTCGTCGAGTTCTCGTGCTTGTTGAAGCTTTGTGTGATAGAGTAGCTTTCCACTTTGTCAAACTCAATCTTGCAAATTCGGTCCATTACATGGACACGCTTATTAGTTATTACTATGTGTAAACCAATTTTTCAAAGCATTTGGAATTACTCCTAGCTGCAAAATTTGCATATGGCAAAAAAAAAAAAAGACTAATTTCACAGAACAAACAAGAGATTGACAAAAATAAAAAGAAAGAGAAAGAACAAGCGGCAGAAATCTTACCAATTCGCCATATACCGCCACATTGCCTGGATTTTCCTTGAGGCCCAAATCGCAGGGCACACGTCACTGGCGGTGATCTTCTATAGTAAAATAAATAAACAAATAGAATAGAGTAGAGATTAATTCTAATAAAAAAACGAAAATAGAAAGAAAAAGAAAAGAAAAATGAAAAGGGTTCATATATACTATTTAATTTAAGCAATTGGTGGCATCAAACTTTGGCTTGTCAGCAAGCCTAGATACACTTTGCATATATGGTTGTCAATGGGGCGGGACGGGCTTTTAGCTGACTCGCACCGTCTCGGCTTAGATAGTCCCGCAATGACTACATTACTTGTTTTTTTGTTTTGTTCTTTTTTTTTTTAAGGAAATAAGGGAGAGAACTTGACATTTTGTTATTGGGACCAAGAATAGTAAATTTCATTTCTATAAGAAAGAAAGGAAAAAGAAAACAAATATCCGATTTCAAAGAGCACCGATATATATATATATATGTATATATATATATATATATTTTTTTTTTTTAAAAGTCAAGGAACAAAACTTGAAAATTAACCAATGCCCATAAACGAACTGATAATAACGAAAAAAAGTGTCGGCCAAAGAAATAAAATCCCGCAATGACTACATTACTTGTTTTTTTGTTTTGTTCTTTTTTTTTTTAAGGAAATAAGGGAGAGAACTTGACATTTTGTTATTGGGACCAAGAATAGTAAATTTCATTTCTATAAGAAAGAAAGGAAAAAGAAAACAAATATCCGATTTCAAAGAGCACCGATATATATATATATATGTATATATATATATATATATTTTTTTTTTTTAAAAGTCAAGGAACAAAACTTGAAAATTAACCAATGCCCATAAACGAACTGATAATAACGAAAAAAAGTGTCGGCCAAAGAAATAAAACCACTAGAAAAAAAAAAAAAAAAAAAAATTGGCTCACATTTCAAGACCCTCTTCGCCATTCTCCGAAATCCTCAAATAAACATTAAAGTCATGTTTGGTAGCTTGTATTGTATTGTGTTGTATTATAATAATACAATATGATATTTAGTGTCATGATATATTGTATAATGAGTTAAAATGTAAAATTTTAATAATTTTATGGTCAAAATGTAATTTAAAAAGGGTCAAAAATATAATTTTTTAAAAGTTTTGGGATATAACAGAAGACTAGTTTTATTGAGTGTTGGACTTGGACAAAATATCTGTTACACGAATATATAAACGATACTATATTGACGAATAAAAAATACTACGTTAATTAGACTGGTATGGCCTTTGAATTGAAGGTATATATTTCTTCTAATTAAACCTTGTTTTGGATTTTGATGCGGCAAATTTAGCTACAAAACTTTATAGTCCAGAAAAATAAGAGAGAACGAAAGTCTCTACATATGAAAGTTAAATAAACCTAAAACATTGGGTACAAAAACGTAAATACCCCTTCTATTAATAAATATTACTTATAATATAGATTGACCTAACAAAATGATAAGTCATATCATGCGTCATCTACGTTTGAATAAAAATTGAGATTTTTAACATTATTCAACCTCAAAACTTAGTTAACAGATTTCTTCAACTAAAGGCCACAGATGATGTTTGATGGAAAGAGGAGAAAGAAAGATGAGAGTGAGAGAGAAATTAATAGTGTTTGATCTGAGAAATATATTTTAACTGAAGGTATCTGAGGGTATTTTAGATTTTTAGATTGCGGTCAAGCTATGACAGAGAAAAAGATGTAGGCGGGTAGGGTAAAACCAAAAGGGTAAAATTCTATAACAACGAATCTACAAGATAAGGTTTGTAATTCTCTCTTTATAAAAAAATAATTAATTTGCTATGATTTTATGTTGGCTTATTATTTGTGTCATTATAAATAATTGGATGCAGTCATGCCTTTTATTTTATGAGAAATGCACTAAATAGTATATTCTTTTAAAATTCAAAAAATATTCTCTATATTTTCCAAACAAGACAAAAATGAAATTTGCCTAGATAATGGATATCATATATACTGTCCAAATTCTTACCGAGCTACACTAACTTCTAAACACCTTTAGATTTTTTTTTTTTTTTTCAATTTTTTAAGTGATCCAAGATTTAGCCATTTAGGCATTCAGCAATGTGAAGGTAATATCTTTAAGTATTGATTAATGCTTTTATTGGCCATTATCAATTAATATGCCAGATGCCTTAAGGGAAGACCGAAAGAAATGGAGTATTTATATCAGTTTTCTGTCAAATCCGAAGTGGGATATCTAATACTAGATATGGGGTCCATTCATTATTCCCAAAGTAGTATAAAAACCCGTAAGAACTACAAAATAAGATGTACAATTAACTTCTCCTGTGATTCAGCCTAAAGTGAATCAGTCTTGCAGCTTAATGGGCTCGATCATATGCTTTGTAAGAAACTAATAACAGGAGAATATTTAATCACAAGATAATTTTTCAAACTCTCTTCTTATATGACTGGAGATTAGATTTCCTAGTTGATTTCTTTCCCCGTTTTGTACAAATTCTGTGCGTAAATACATGAATGACCGTGTTTGTTAAGTCCATACCGTACAACATAACATGGGCGAGCAAATCTCTCTCTCTCTCTCATGTGGAATCAGCACAAAAACAACTTTATTATCGGCCATTTTTTAAATCAGCCAACACAAAAAATGGCTGAACAAGCACTTTTTCTTGCTTTTAGGAGGGTTTTTTTTCCCCCTTCTTTTTTGGTTTTTTGTTCTCGTTAGAAGTTGAGGAAATTAGGAAATTATAGGAGCTGCTGAGAGATTCTGATAGAAACAATTTCTCCATTAGGTCCAGCTCTCATGGCGTGGTATTTGACATGTATTCCTGGCACCGAGAAAGCAGAAAATGCAAGTCATCAGCAACTTAGTTTGCAAAACCAAGTTCCTTTTTAACATCTGTATAAACTTGAATTAGTGCTACTACATTAGAAATTTCTAAAGTTCTTATGCATTAATTAAACATATATATAAGTTTGGAAAGAAAGGGAGAGTTCTACCTTCATTTTTCTGTAAATTGGTGTTAACAGCAACTGCGTGGAGGCTTATCACAGCCCTTGGTTGCCAGTCCATTGGTTTTCCAACCCATGACTTGAGATTAAAGATAGCTATCATTTTATTTGGACATGAAATCAGATCAACTTACAACAGAAATAGCTTATTTTCTTGTTAACATTGATTGACATGTGACCAAGACTACAGAGTTCTATTAATTCCATTTAACAAACACTAGTAAGAAAGCAAATAGCCAATCTATACAACATCGAAAGCCATTATTTACCTTGTTCATGTTATTAACCTCTCCTAATTCAATTTGGAGAACACAATTATTTGAATAACCTTGGCGACTTATAGATTTATAAGTGGTACTACAGTAGGGCCTTTTCCTAGACAATCGCCTTCAAGAAAACTGCTAACTAATCATTGTCTAATAGGTATACCTGTTTTTAAGTATCATGGCATTTTACATTGATTTCATGGTAGTGAAATTCAGTGCAATTGTAAAGAACATTTTACCAGACGTCGAAGAGTCTTTGAGGTGTTTGACATCAAAAACAGCCCCTGAAGCTCCATCTGTGTGCTTTTTGATATCATGAGATCCTACAACATCGTAATCCCAGCTCCCATTTTGGTACCCCTCACTCAGGAATAGTTCTATGTGTCTTGCATCTAAAGTCTGCATCGTTCCTGTATAAGTAACACAATATTTTAACGTCATGTTTCGAATATAAGAACAGACGAATAAGCAAATTACGTGGACAGGCAGCGAAGGCACATTGCTTGCAAGGTATTACCACTAACCAGATTCTGCAAGTAATTGTTCTTTATTTTTTTCTTTTTTCTTTTTTTTTAACCTAGAGTTATGACTAAAATCACATTTCTAAACTCTTTCATCACATATCCAATGATAGTGTCGTCTACCAAATTGGCTGAAAATTCACTGGCACATTGTACATCTCCTAGGCACTTGACCGGCGATATATATTCTTTTTCTTTTTTCCTTTTTTGTTGTCCTCACCGTCACATGTGTTGAGATCACAGACTGGGCATCGAACAAGCTGAAGATCTGTAAGAATCATAAGGTGAAAACTATTAAAATGATGACATTAAGCATAGGAATTTTAAGGCCGTACATAATAAAAGTAACAAGAGGAAGGTTAAAGCAAGTGGTCGTACCGGCTATCCATATCCCTGTCTTAACATTCTTTAGAACACAACAGCCACTTGACTGCAACATCGTCTCTGTCTCATCTTCTTTTGGGATTCTCGTTGGAGCGCTTAGCCTCTCTGTCAGGAGAACTTCTGAAGAGTCCAGAGAAAAAGCACCAATTCGCATCCAGTCTGCTTTTCTCACACCCAATGCAAAAATGCAGCCAAGAAAACGTCAGTTGCCAATAGACTAATATGCTGTGGCACATACACGTTCACCACAAGAAAATACCTAATAAGAAAGGACAATACACCAGCCTATAGCTCTAACTATGACAATGTGCCATCTTTATACTAAATTTGTATTAGGTGTGCGTTGTTCAAGGACAGCGCAAAGTGATCTATTGTTGGTAAAATAAATCTTCTAGAATAGTTTGTTTGGATACGCTTCAAAAGATGGTTAGAAAAATGCTACTTATTCTTTTTTTTTTTTCTCTCTCTCTCTTTTGGCTAAAGAAATGCAACTTATTCTTATGTGTCGTGTGTCACCCAAAGAGATTAAACTTAAGACAAACAGTAGTTATGACAGTCATGATAGCACCCAATACTACAGAAGAAGTTAAAACGGCATTTACCAATGTGTTTCTCCTGTTGACGGAACATAAAAGAATGGCTTCCATCTGGCAAGACCATTCAGACTCGATTAGACAATTAAGTATATATACGTTATAAATGTAACGTAACTAAACATTTTATCATAGTTTCATTCCATGACACAAGTAGCAGACCATACAGAAACTTTGGTCCTTACCAAAAGCTGAAGCATAGAGTTTGATCCACTTGGAGGAAACGTTGCAAGGAGTAGGAACCTGAAGGTCACGCAGGCAAACGTACTTCCATATGCTGTCTTCCATTATCAAACTCTGGAACCACCGACTAGTGGCCGCCAGCATCACCAGTGATCTCGCATCTAGAAACTTCGCGATCTCTGTCCACAAGTCTCTTTCATACCTTTTTCACAAAAGAACAAATTATTAATACAAGAAACGAAGAAAATCAGCCAAATCCTTCTATTTTCTACTGTTTTTTTTTTTTTTTTTTTTGCCTCGATTTTACTTGCAGATGAAATTTTACGAGTTAAACAGAGCAATTCTCAGGCTGCGTAAGTTGACGAAAGATTAATTCATATCTTTTGTTACTGAAAAAACAGATAAAGTTCACGTGATTTTTTTATTAAGTCGCATTTTCCCTCGGCTTTCGCAGAAATAAAGCAGATTATACAGGATTTGAATCAGATTAACAAATCTAACACTAAATTGGCAAGCCGAATCAAACTGACAGGTGTTGTAATGAAAATGCTTTTCTAACTTTGGTAGCAAGTAATAAAATGCAATCAATGCGACATGTTGAATAATTTTCAAATTACTGAAACGATCTGTGCTCAAACTATCTGACCGATGTCTGAAAACAGCAATTATCGATCAGCACAGATTGCTTCTGAAAAACAACTTAATTAAACTGGTCTCGGAAACAGATTTCCCTCTTTGAGCTTTTAAATCTCAGATCTATTTATAAAGCACGATTTCACTCAGAATCTCCTAACTAAAAAGCAGCGATCACTAAATTTTTCATGAATTCAAATTCAGACAAATTAGAATTTTCAAAATTCATAAACTCAGATCAAAGCTTAAAGTCGAACAGATAACACTACGTCCAATAACCTCAATCAATCTCTTGTCGTATAACGAAAACAAACAGAAAACGCATAAACATTTGAATTTGCAGCAAATTCACCAGCTCAAAAGCATAAATACTCGTTTCTCATGAAAATTGATAGAAAATTGAGTTTTCCTATGAAATCAAGCTAACATTCCGAGAATTGGAGAGAAAGAGATAGAGAAAGAAGATAACCAGCAGAAAGTGGAGTGAGCGGTGAGGAAAGAAGCTGGAGAGCTACAAGAACAGATCGTCTTGGATCTTCGCAGTGGCCTCCGAGTTCTCTGTGGCATGGAAGCAAGGTTTCTCTTCCGCTTCGCCATTTGATCATCGCCGGTAGCTTCGACTCTCGAAGTTCTCTTCCGATTCACCATTTTTTCATCTTCGGAAGCTTCCCTTCTCAAACGCTTTACCATGGTTGTTCTGCGTGATCCAGAGCTCTCCGATCACTCTGCAATTTATATAGGCGCGCCAATTCCCCGGGTTTCAAAAAAGTAAAACTGAAAATTGAAAATCCCAACGGAGAATGAAAATAATAGCTAAAAAGTAGACGTCATCATTTTTGTCGTTTATGAACCTGAACGCCGATACTTGTATAGTCGTATTATGATTAGGCCTAGTTAACGGGCTTGATTGGGCCTCGTTCATTTGGGCTCAACTAGTTGTCGCATCATAGTACCTGTTATTTTTGTTTTTTCATTTTTTTATCTCTTAGGAGAAGTAAATAAATTAAATAAATAGCGTATTTTAAAATATTTAAAATAAATAACAGTAAAAACATACCACGTTTTTTACGACTCATAAAGATTTTTTTATCACTAAATTTTTTTATTTACAACTGATCAAAAGAAATCATGTAAAATTTTCTTTTACTATTATTTACACGTTAAAATCTACTATTTATTTAATTTAGTTTCATAAATTTATTATTTATTTAAAAATCTATTATTTACACAATTTTTTTTCTACTCACATATAGGTAACGTTTAATTAACTCACCTTACCAAATCCCAGGGAGAACGAATGGAATATTGGAATATGACGATTGTATTGGAGTGTGAGGTTGAAACTCACTTTTTTTAATTAATGGTTTTTTTTTTCTTTTTTGCTGAGATTTTATTAATGAGATTAAAACACACTTAAGTTGCCTGTAATATTTCCCTAAAAAAAGTTGCATTTTTTTTCCAAGGAAAAAAAAAGACGGTGCAGTTTGCACAAAAGTATGATAACCAACAGTTTGCGAAGAAGTACCAGCCAAATAGCTGGAGAATTTACATTTATATGAATTGAATGTGTTACATTATAAATGGGGGTGAGAAGAAATTAGAGGGGACTAAAAAAAAAGTTACAAGCTGAAAGTGTGGACAAAAGGTAATTCCTGGCTAAGAAATGGGTCAGAAATCAGAACTCGGTCGGGGGAGTAAAAATGGGAGTGAAAAAGTATAAACTAATTCATGAACTTTCTACAGTTCGGAGCATTGCATAGACAGGGGACTTTGAGCTCATCATGCTCGTCAGGATCAAACAAGTAATCGTACCTGTTTGAAAAAAAGTAAAAAATTAAAAAAAATAAATATGTCAATTTTACCACATAATCGTAAATGAATTTCATCATAAAAGTAAAATCGTGGTGAAGAGAGATCATACGTTAGTTCTTCACCAGCAGAAACCTTAGATTTGGCAATGAGAACTATCCGGCTTTCACTATTGCCAACACTCATGATTCTCGCATAGCAGTTGGGCAAGCACTGCAGAAAATGTAGACAATTTTTTTAGCATTTACCAAACATGAAAGAAAACTAAACAAGACATGAAAACCAGTTGAACCAAACTAAGAGGAAAAACTATCTTGATTCTACGATAAAAAACGAACTCCCATAATAAAACTTACCGAATGGTTAATTAGACGTGCAATATTCCCTTTATCTGTGGCGTCGATTACTACTTCTTCACTGATCTTGAAGAGCTGCAGAAAAGATATTGGCTTTGAGAATCAAATTTGCAGGAATGGATTCAAGACTTTTATAGACATTTGGTTCATGGATTCAGAACCATTATCGGTTTACGTGTGTTTTTTGTGAGAGAAAACACTGTAGCGAACCACGAACCATGATCATGATACGAATCTACCAACCAAAATGTTTTACAATAGCCACAGCTAAATTCCAAATCAGCTCTATAGAAAGGCAATAAAACAAGGAATCTGATGGTGATAAACTAAGCCAAGGATCAGCAGTCCTCAAGTTAAATAAAAAAAGGAACCCGAATCAAGTAAACTAAATAGCTGAACGTCTACACTTACAGGTAGCATATGGAAAATAAATACTGACAAAAAGTCCACTTACATAGCAATCTTTGCCTTGTGATCGATATTGTGCTTCCCTCAGATCCGCAACACTGCGCCTCACCTGCTCACCACGATATTCAAAAACCTGGAAACAAACATATCCAGCATTAACAATTAGCTACTTTTCACATGGATTTAAATAGAACAATAAAATAAAGGTAGGTCCACACACAGGGAAATTAAACACGTGAATCACGTAACAAGAAAATACATCTGCATGTGCACAGACATCTATGAACATTAAAGTCGTCTAGTGATAACAAATACTTACCATTTCTCCCTCTTGGATATTCCTGCGTGCAAATAGGCCCCATCCATGTATTTGCGATTTACCGAAACAAATCCGATGATTCTCAGTTTTCTGAAGTCGTATATAAAATGTTAGTAAAATCTATTTTATATTAAAAAAGAAAAAAAGTCTACAAACATTGAAATTTAAGAGTTTTATAACCATTGTGGAGATTTATGACTTGCCTGTAAGTGTTTAAGCCGATCTTTGAATGAAGAAAAAATTATTGTATCTTCTACTTCCTGATAAAAGCAACAGATTTGCATTGTAAATCAGCCGAACAGGCAAACTCTTTGAGAACAGCAAAGAACACAAGTCCCATTGGTGAAATAACAAAATTCCTTATATTTGAAGCAAGAAAATAAATTCAACTAAGAGAACACGAATATTACTTTTACTTTGTTCAGGTTATTTACTGCATCTAAAGAATGATGTGCTGGCCCCATTGGCCGGTGGGATATTGGCTGCCGTTCAGTATTCTGAAAAAATAAATAAATAAATAACAACAAATATAAGGTTAAGCAAATAAATAAATAAAGATGACGAGAAAATGACACCAAAATTATTACACTTAGTAGCTGAAAGAATAGCAGAATTCACGATTAAAATAAAGAGAAAAAAGAAAAGGAATACTACCGAAACAAGACAAATGTACCTTCATATATACCTTATGGCTGGATCTTTTAAAGATGCGACATCTTGCGGCAGAGTCTGGTTCAAACTCATTAGTCTCTAAGGTTGATGATTCTTGAACCTCTATTCTCTTTGATGCAACCAGCCTTGAACCCTTGAAGCATCCCTTCTGGTTCTGAAGCAAGCTTCTAGCAGCAAAAACCCCAGAAGGAGTATGAACAACTACTACAGCATCTAGGTTTGGGGTCCTGCGCATGAAAATCAAGTTAAGCAGATATAAATCAAAGGCTATGCAATTCAATAACAAAAGCTTAACCCTCTACCTTTGCTACGAGATCAAGAAATTTGAAGTTTGCAGAGCATAGCATGAAGAATAAAGTTCTAACCTGTGAACTGCACAGTATATCAACTTTCTTGTTCTTTGTTTCCCATTCTTCTCGAAGCAGTGCAACTGAAAGTTCAATATAAAGCGTTACTCTAATCACTTTAGAAGCATTCAGACATGACAGCAGAAAACACACACACACACACACACACAAAAGGCATATTTCAGACAGAGGACTAACTAATTGACCAGAAAAACAACTATGACAAACTTACCTCCATGCTATATCCTGCTCTCGAAGCACAGGTCGCATGGAAATAAGTAGCACATTTGCAACACTGTGTACAGGAACCATGACTCTGCTTACATATTACACATCTCTGTGATCCACATAAACAAGAAAATATTATTACAAACATGTATACTTGTACCAAGAAAAAAAAAAAAAAGCAATAATAGGAGATGAAAAATTCCAGATCATAGACCATTTCCCTGAAAGTTGGGGGATTCAGCACATATAGACTATTAAACATGCTAAAAACATATATCCCCATTCAAGTTAAGAAGAAACTGCCCTAAATCAAATACTTTACTTAAAGTTGAAGTGCCAGAAGATTATATTTACAAAATAAAATAGTTGATCGTCAATTTACCTTCAAAAACGAAGTTGTTGGAATTCTAAGAACTCCGATAGCTGGTTCCATCTTCTCGTGATTCAAGAAACCAACTTCAGGTCGAAACCAAGCACAAGTGACATGAACCCACAGTGCCTCTACATCAGTAGGCTTCAGAGCACCCCCTACAGGAACAATTTTACATACAATGAGCACAAACGCATTGGATACCAACTTCATAGTGCACACGCTCATTTAAAATCTTTGAAGCAAGACCCAGAAAGAATACAATGCAAAAAAGAAAAGGCAGATTCTTAGTGACGGAGTATCTATGTGGACTACACACAGAAACAACATATTTGCAGATAACAGAGGCAATATTAGGTTTAACCAGTTCAACATCGGAGCACAAGCATATAAACCTCAAGAACGCATGAAACTAGTAGTTGTACAAGCTAGATTAGAAACCTTTGACAGGACAAAGGCAACATTCTCTACTGACATCAGGTGTTTCACATGCTCTACAAACCCACGAAGTAAAGTCCTGCACATCTTTTGCTCCATAGCACTCTTGGTGGACGGCTATCTGACATCTGCATAGAGCACAAACAATAACAAACAAACATATGTCCTGCATTTAGCCAAGTGCATAAAAATAAAAATCGATCCAATCTAATACTGGGAAATTTTATATATTAACCGCCCAAAAGATTAAAAAAAAGTTGGTAACTTGGAACACATCCAACCAAAAAAAAGCACCTGTTGCAAATAATAATTTTGTTATCATCCCAATCTTCAACCCATCTACAAACAGCACATCTTTCTGTTGTCCATTTTCCTATAACAGGCTCATACTTCTCTGTTGCAATGAAGATACAGGTAAAATAAGAATAGAATATCTTGATGCCAAAAATTACAAGTACCACAGCCCCCACGCCACCAAAAAACAAAAAACCAAAATTAAACAAAAAAAAAAAAGAAAAAAGAAAAGATAACTTTCATGTGTTCACCTTCTAAAAAAGTGAGTAATTGTTGTTTGTCTAACTCAAAAGGGTATGCACTGGGCACACTATTCTCTTCAATCTGAAAAGGAATATCAAAATGTCAATATTTACCTGGATGTAGTAGAAAAAATGAATTATCAAGTAATCAAATAGGCTAGTTAAGGTTAGAAAATATAACACTGATACAAACCCATTTTTCCAGCGGTAGCATTGTGCTCTTCACTCTCACACTATACTTCCACTTTTTAGCTCTACAACCAGTGTGTCGTTCCCACTCACTAAGTGTTTGCTTTTTCGCCCCACATGAACCACACTTGCACATGACCCTAGAACCAAAAGAAACAAAAGGTCGCAATCTCTCAACCAAGTAACTAACTCAAACAAAATTTTGTAAAAGGATGTGATTACATAAAAAATTTAACAAAATTTTGTAAAAGGATGTGATTACATAAAAAATTTATCTCAAGATTAAGTCAGAACTTACAAATGAAGTTTTGGAATGTATGTCCCTTCCATGCCATTACATATCACAGCTATATTCTCGGTCGTCGAAGTCTGTTTTTTGCTTCCATTAGAACTGATTCAATGGTAAAAGCCCAAAAAAAAAAAAGCCACATCATCAGGTGTTTGAACTTGACGAAGACATCCAAAGTATATTCATAAACTCAAAGTTGTAGTTGCTTTCCAAATTAAATAAACAAAAACCACCAATTGTCTAACATACTTGCATTTGAGCTGATATTTCTCCAAATCTGATGATTCACAATTGGATTTTGCTTTGCAATCAGGGCAATAATAATCAACATTCTCCAGGTCCTGAACCAGAAAGAAAGAGTGAACCTCTAATTCCACACGAACTAGGATAAAATTGAAAATTGAACTATGCTGCAGTAGAGAAACATACATGCCAACTATGGAAGACATACCTTGAGAAGTTTGCCGGAAATTTTGTCACACTCGGCGTGCACCCAAACATTACACCCATCACAACATACCTAAAGCAGAAACAGGCCAACCAATATCTCAGATTAAAATCAATACTTAATCCATGAAATGAAAATCCTAAAAAAGAAGTGGCTTACGAATAGCTCACCCAGTTACCACCATCCCAGTGGTGCCATATCTTCTTACATATGCCACAATATTGTTTCGACTTTTTTAGCTGTAGAAATAATGAGGATGAGGGAAATCAGAAACGAATCATGTGTTGTCTGAGAACAAAATAGAAGCAAATAAAAAATCTGACCAAGTTCTGAACCTTAACACAATGTTTGCATAAATGGTGGGTTTTACTATTTGAACCCTTCACATTCTTCATGACTTTACAAGGCAGACTCAAACCACATCCATCACAATGTTTAGTGTCATTATGGTATGCTTCCTGCACGATACATTGATTACATATAAACTTCTACTGTCCCACGCTAGATAAAGCAAACTGTTTTATGCATGCAACTTAAAATGAAAGGAAAGTTAGCATGAAATGTGAAAGCAAGCATAAACAACAAAAGGTAGATTTTCTGTGCTTCAGTTCCTGTCTAGCTAGTCTAAGTTAATTGGAGAAGTGAAAAGACAACTGAAAAACTAATAATCAAAAGAAGACCAATAGCCTATACTGATAACTCTGGATCCTCATTAATCAGCTTTGTAGATTTTATTTACAGTATAATAAAAAGCGTTTTTTCCCCTCTTCGTATACTGTATTTTAAGATTATTCATAAAATTTTGAATCTCTACAAAAATATATCATTAAATTACATTTATTAGACAAATTACCTAAATAACTTTGAAAATTATTATTTAAAAGAAGAAGGAAAATAATACAAAAATTACAAAAGAAATAGAAAAGTTATATTTTTTTAAGAATTCTTTTTTTATTCTTTCGGCTTCCTTTCTTGTAATACTTTCAAAATAATTTTACATTGTAAAAAAGGTAAATAAACCCAAAATATAATAACACTACTAATGGTAATAATGATAAATAAATAAACAAGAAATGGGTAGTTTTCTATAACGAAAAGACAAAGGGTAAAAATAAGTAGTAGTGCAATCTGAAACGACAAGGTAAACAAGTTTTTTTCTAGTGCGACCCCAGAATGCGTTATTTAAGACCTAAGATTGATCATAAATATAATTATATACATACATATATATATATATACACACTTAGCCCTCTTTTAGTTTTTGAGATGCGACTTTATATAAAAATTTTTAACTGTAACAAAAAAAATAAATTTAGATATGACTTTTTATGAGAGCTTTAACTCTAATAAAACTAAAATTAAAAACTCGAATTGGTGAAAATAAACAAGCTGTTAATATGCTCGAATTCGAAAGAACCATTACCTGGCTCTGGGTGTAATACTCTTGTCCTTGATTTGAAGTGGTGGGCTCTTGAGTTTCATAGGGATATGCTTCTTCGTTACTTATTTCGCCAGTCCCAAAGCTCTTATTCAGGATATCATTTTCCGCTAACAACGCCTCCTCTATAGCCATCTGAAACTCACTTGGTTTGCTCTTGTACAACCGGGTCTGCCCACGAAATCTGAACAAAGGAACAATGCAATAAAATGCTCAGAATTTCTGTAATAACATAAGAATCTTCGAAATCTCGTGGGAATTTACTTAGCTACGTACCTGTCCATGAATTCAAGAAAGGGAAAAATCATCCCCTGTTTCACCCATCCATAGTCCTGCCCATCAACGCATATGTAGAATCTAAACACATCATACTAAAATCGACAAAAACAGACAGAGAAAGGTTTCAGCCTTTACCCTTTGTTTGCCCCTCTTTGAGAAGCCATAAAACATGACGCATATAGCACCAGGAACACAACACCTCAGAACCGGTTCAGGAGCTTCTAACAATGGATCGATTACCACAGCTGGCCATGCCGGGAAACTCCTTCCACACTTGGCCCAAACTATATCACCCAAAGTAAAGTCCTCAGGCTTATAGATTTCCCTCCTCTTCCCAACGTTGGCTTTTCCAAGCGTCTCCACACCTAACAAGCCGAACCCAGAACATTCAAAATTGTCGAATCCTATACAATCATTCGAGTTCTTCATCCCGTACTTTTCCTTCTTCTGATTTCTTACGAATCCCAATTCATCAATTTTCCTTTTACTTTCTTCAGCGAAGATTTTGACATTATTATCCTCTTCGTCGAAGCTCGTATCCGTTTCTTCGGATTTCGACTCCTTCTTCCAGTAGTTGAGAACCGAATTGCTGAACTTCGACGGAAGCATCCGAATGCGTCCTCGCGACGATTTTCCGAAACCTTCTCGGCGTTTCAAATTCGATTCGACCTCGCCATTCCAATGCGAGTCTTCGCTGAACCAAGAACCTGAACCACCGGTGAGACCTTCTACGTCTCCATTACAGAGCGAGTAGAGCCCATTGGCTCGCGGCTTCTTCGCATTCGCCGAATACGCGTAATCCGCTTCGCCGTCGGGCTCTTCGAGCTTGCAACGTTTGAGATTAGGCATTTCGAATTTCAAAGGCCGTTTGATTATCATCTTCCGACCATTCAATTCGACGAATTCACCTGCCAGACCAAACCCTAGTTCGCATAGAAACCGGACCAAATATATTCAGAAAAAATAAAAAGAAATAAAACCGACTACGTGAATTCTTTAAGCTCTCGGCAATTACACCGAATTTCGATCGAAAACTCGTTTCGGAATCACCTTATCTTCGAAAATTCCGATCGGAATTCCCAAATTACGATGCGAAAACCTACCAAAACCAATCAAACAGAGAGCCAATTGGAATTAAAACGATTCCGACGGTTTCTCTCAGGACAAAAGCGATAATCCAAACGCAAACTCAATTGTGAATCTCCAATTCGAACTATAACGAGCTCCGAAAAATTTTCTCGGGAAAATAAGCAAGAAAACAAACAAAGAAAATCGCAATCGAATTCGTGGAGAGGAAAAACCCGAGCTGTGTCTCGCAGAAAAGGGTCTGCTTCCAAACAAAACGAACTCTTTAATACACCCTTTCTTTCGTTGTAGACCTAATTAATTAATTAATCCGTCTTTACGCAGAAGAATAATCAGAATTAAAATTAATTAATATTTTGGTTCGGTTTTAAACATAAAACAAAAATAATAAAATAATAATAAATATTGTTTTGGCGTGTGCCTGGGACTTTAGGGGATTTTTGGCTCCAAATCTTTTGGGGCCTGAAAAAAAGGAGGGGAGAGAGATCATATGCGACGAAAATTTTTGGCTTTCGAGAGAGCGCGAAACGAATTTTTGGGAGGGTGCACAGAGTTCTCGTGCAACCTTATGTTAGTGGTCGCGCTTGAAGATTTTGGACACGAAAACTTGTACAAGTAACCTTTTAAAAACATATATAAAAAAACAACTTGTATAAGTAAAGCTTCTTTGTTAAAAAAAAAAAAAGATAAATGCAAAACAATACAAAAGTAAATGACAAAGTATGAAAAAATAGAGAAAATTCATTCATATTACAAATAATGGTAATAAAAATAATTTTAATTATATTTAATTATATTTTTGGTTCCTCTTTGTAAATTAATTATTTTTATATTTTAGTTTATGAGCATTAAGCAATCGCATAATACACGTAAATATTGTCATTTTCTGCTAAATTCATGATAGCATGTCTTAATTAATGAGCTCAAAAAATGTACAAAAGCTATACTTTTTTTCACTTTAGAACAAATGCTAGATGAAGTTACCATACAAATTAAAGTTCCCATAATTCTTCAAAGCAAAAAAAAAAAAGAGGTTCCCACTTCCCACAATTCCCCTAACATATAGTGCTTGTCATATATATATATTTTTTTTGGTAAACAAATAGTACTTGTCTTAGTACTTATTCAGAAAGGCTAAAGGACGTCCAGTCCTCTTTCAATAATCCAAATACTCACCCATATACTGAAGTTTACTTCATTAGTCAAATAGTACACAAATTAGCATAGGAAAGCCGCGGCGCATATCAAAGTACTACAAAACGGCAGTTACATTTAGATGCGACGATTAAACGAAGAAAAAATGAAAAATACAAAGCCAACAACTTAAAAAAAAATGATTAATTTTAAAAATTTCTCCTAAACTATGACCCTTAGAACACTTTAACTCTCGAATTTTAAAAAGTAACATATGTTCTCTCTGAATTTTATTTCATTAACAAGTTTTTTCTTTCTGTTACAATGAGTGATGAAATTGTCATGTGTCACTTATTTAGTGAGAATTGAAAGCGTAATTACGTTTATACCTTGCTAATCAGATAATTCTTCATTTTTAAAATTATATATAATTCTTTTCTCTTTTCATTTTCGACATTTCCCCAAACATAAGTTTTTGACATTATCAGAAATCTCTCTCTTGTTTACACTCTTGCTCGAGTGAGATAAAAACAAGTTTTTTTTTTTTTGTTTTGGGTTTAAGATAGAGTAATTGATAGAGTTTGGAAACAATGGATTGCATAGATTGTGCTGGTGATACATCAGTTGTGAGTGCAGTGAACGAGAGAATTGAAGCAGCCACAGAGATTTTTCATCTTCCAAGGCCTTGGGTCATGGTCAGTGTTAATGATGATGAAGATCTTCATTTTCGCAAGGCTGGTATGTCTTGGGATTTTGTTATAATCTTATTTTTGCTTCCAAAACCAACTTAGGGCCCGTTTAGTTCGTTGATTCGAGTTTTTAATTCGAGTTAAGATGTGATGTTATGTGAGAGCTTTTTACTGTAGTAAAAAAGTTAGATGTGACTGTTTCTGAGAGCTTTTTACTATAGCAAAACTCGAATTCTAAACTCGAATTGGCGAAGTGAACGGGGCCTTAGGCTAAGATTGAACGAAAAATGAGTTGTGAGTTTATGATCTGCTTTCTTAATAGAATTTGATCCTGAGGATTGTCCTCTTGACTGCTCAATGCCTTGTCAAACAAGGTTTAACGCATTTTAGTTTTTTTAATCATTTTTTTTAATAATTCAGGATTGTTGCAGGTTAATTTACAATAATATTCTCCTCATATGGGTCATGTACTTGACACGTAGCGATTTTCGTCGCTCATTGTAACAGAAGGGAAAAACTTGTTAACGAAACAAAATTCAGAGAGAACGAATGTTACTTTTTAAAATTTAAGAAGTAAAGTGTTATAAGAATCATAATTTAAAAGAATTTTTGAAATTAATCCCAAGAAAAAAAGAAAAGAACCGGAGAGAGAACATGAAAAAGTAAGGTGGCAAAAAAAAGAAAGTAAACATTATAAACGATAACTAATAATTGATGCGTGTTATATCTGAAACTAATTTAAGACGATAATGGAATGACGACATAGAAATTAAAATGCAGGAGACAAAAATATTATAAAATGACAAAGAGAGAATAAAAAGGGCAAAAACTAGAATAAAAACAACAGATACATAAACGACCAGGAAAAAAACGACAAATACTTCTAAAAGCGACCATAACCAAAAGAAAAAAAAAAGGTAAGGTTGTTTAGTTGATGGATTCAGAATCATAATTCAGAACTATTTTTAATTTAATACTGTAACGAACCACGAATCATGATCCGAACCATGATACAAATCTTTTAACCAAACATCCCAAAAAAGATTCATAAGACGTTATGGGAGACAGTGATGTCATTTGAGGAGGGAGATGTAAATTTGCATGATATGTTCGCTTTGCTTTGGAAGAGTATGTGTTGCTGCTAGCGGATCCACAGGTTTGCAAGTGTATATTAACTTGGTGTTGACGCATAATGTGTGGTAAAATTTATGACAATGTCTGATGGACCTTCTACAAAGCCAAACATCAAAGTTGTACCATACTTTTTCAACAAGGTTTTTTGACATGTGCCTAAGTGACTTTTTAGAATGTGCTAACAGCTAATTCTAAGTGGGTGCGCTCTTTATAGCAAAATACCTTCCATTTTGTACGTTTAAATTTTTTATTAGAGTATTTTTTTTTCATAAAGTTTAAATTTCTATTTAAATTTTTTTGTTCAAACTTATAAATTAAACGAGTTCTACGATAATTCTTTGACTCGAGAGATAATAAACATAATGGGTGCGTTTAGAATTAATTCTAAAATAATTATGTTTTTTGTATGAAACTGAAAATGAAAACATTTTCAATATGAGACTGAAATCGTTTCTGAAAATACGTTTGGTAGTTTTATTAAAATATTGTTTTTAGTATAAGAAAAAATTAAAACTTCGTTTAGTTATACAATTTTTAAGCCCACACCCACTTGCCCAAAGAAAATGCATCCACCTAAAGAAAAAATGAAAAACGACTTAAAGTCGTTTTCAGTTTTTAAGTGATTTTACACTAAACCGAAAATCGTTTTTGTTTACATTTTTTTTTTTTTACTTTTTTTCTCTAAACGTGTTTTCCTCCTTAATCTCATTTTTATCTCGAAAAACGTGAAAAATGAAAATAAAATTGATACCAAATAGTAGAATGGTTGTAACATATGATCATTTTATTTAGTAAAAGTGGAGATTGTTAGGCCCTATTTGGTACATATACTTGAACCTATAATTATGATTCTATTACAATATTTTTTATCTCACAAAGAATTAAATTCAAAAAAAAATTTCTCATAAAATTCCCGCCAATAAATAAGAATCACTAACGTGAAAAAAAAAAAACCCTTAATTATTTGACAAAATGGAAAGGCCACTAATCCCACATTAGTTACCGAGTACTACTTAGGGGTTTTAAAGCCCATATAAGGAGCCTAAAGGCCTTTGTTCAAAAAACACTAAGCCCACCTTCTATTATGAATAACGTAAGTATAAATTTTAGATGGGAGAAAGAGAAAAATAGACCAAGACTTGAGATGAATTAAAATTAATAGATTAATAATTTACATAAGTTAATAGATAGGCTAAATTAGGGTATATTCAGATTTATCTATACATAAGATTCCAAAAATGCCATTTCCACTCAAAAACCCTAACACCTCTCTCTGCGCGCTCTCTCTCTCTCTCTCTCACCAACCTCTGCGCTCTTTCTCTCTCTCTTCCCTCCGGCGAACTGTTTTTCCCTCCGCTGCTCTCCCACGATCACTCTCTCTTCCCTCCAACGCTCTCTGGCGAACTGTTTCTTCCCTCCGCTGCTCTCCCACGATCACTTTATCTTCCCTCCGGCCCTCTAACGCGATCTGTCTCTCTTCCCTCTGCATAACTCTCTCTCATCCCTCCACCAATCTCAGATTCTCGTCCGCCACCGTTTCTCTCTCTTCTGTCCGCCACTCTCAGAAACCTCGCCGGTGTCGTTAGATGAGAAATCAAAGACGGACCACAGACGTCAGAAATTAACAAAAGAACAAGGTAAATCCGTTAATCACTAACTGGTAAATCACTAATTAATGAATATGTTAATATTGATTGACAGACTTTTAGCTTATGTTTGAGGTTGACACTTGAATGAAAAGATTGTAAACAGGTAATTATTTAAAAATTAAGAACATAGCTCGTTACTTTTTGTTTCCCTATAATTGGAACCTATCGTATAGTAAGGCTCTATCCATAACTCGACACAAATTCAAAAATCAAGTTATGGTCAA